CCTATATACCCCTCAATTCTTATAATTTGGGTATTTGGGTTAGTATAACCTTCACATATACTCAACGTTGGATGCTTCCCCTCTCTCCTCCTCGGTGAAACTAAAAATCCCTCAGCATGAACCCTCTCTCCTTCTAGCCAAATCCTTTTCTGCCGATATTTTGGCATGGAGGAGGATGAAGAACCGACATTGGACATTGAAGGTGTGCATAGTTCTGCAGCCTGGAACAATACTTCAAGTGGATCTCAGTAACATCTCTTCCTTCTTGGTAATTAAGTTCAGCTTGGACCAATATCTATTTTGATACATATTCTCTAGCGATTCTTTGATTCATTTTGATGATAATTTTGAGGGCATACATGCGATGTTATGTTACTGGAACTTCACAAATTCATGTGCATTTTTTTATTCACAAATTTATGTATTTGTTTATCTATATACTAAAGCTATCGGGGGTTAGTGCTATAGCTTGACACTATTCATTCTACAGCACTATAGCTTATTGTTAAAATAGACAATAAGTAACTTTTGCTTACAAACCCAATGTTCAACCCAATTTGCTTATAAGTCCATCACTTCAAAAATCCATCTCAAGTACATAATGCTCCGCAGGTTTGAAAACTTTATCATAAGTTCGAAATGCACCATCAACTCCAATAATATAATATAACAATATAATGAAGGATCATATAAAGAGCTTTTTTTTTTGCTATAAACCAAAAATTCCGTAATTTATTTTTAAATTCACTCACTTCATAATCGGTTTTTGACCATAAAAAACTCTAATAAATTAATTTTAAACTTAATTTATATTTTATAAATTTATTTTATCATAAGTTGCAACTATATTTTGGTTATTTAGCTATAAATCTTATCCTTATTTATTTTCAAACCTACCCATTACAAGGATTTTATTATTATAAATCTAAAGTATTAGATCTATTTATTTTTAAACTACACACATCGAAAATCACTCTTAGAAACTACACCAACCTATTTTTAAACTCAATTTGTGACGGTTTGTGCATATGGTTTAAATTGTTATATTCCACTTTGACTTATAATATTTCTTTTTCTAAGAGTCTAGGTGTACAATGTTTTAGACCAAATGCTTTAGCATTTTAGGGTTTTTTTTTCAAATTGCTACAATGCCGCAAATGATAGATGAGTTTTTTTTTCCTATAAGTTTAAAGTTTTATGCTCACTTATTTTTAAATTGACCCAGTTTAGAAAGTTTTTTTTCCTTAAAGCAAAGGTATCCTGATAGTCTTCCATACGTGTAAGTTGTTATATTTCAATTTAACATGTAAAATTTTATTCTAAGTGGTTAGGTTAGGGATTCTATCAGAACATCATATCCAATAGGGTAATTTATACCACTCATGGATAGTTAAATGGTTAGTTTGTGAACTATGGCTATTCTATTAATGGTGTAAACCACTCCGCTTTTATATGGGTGATTTTTGTAGAAATCTTACTGTTTTGGTACACCATGTATTTTATAAATCAAATACTTAACAATGTTGCATTTTTTTTCTATGCTAATGATGTGGCATCAAAAATATTGTTTGTGTATAAACTCAAAATTTTAACCAAACCTTTTAAACTTACTCTCTTCCTAAAAGGAGTTCTTGTGCATGCATACATCCAAAAATCTTGCATTCATTTATTATTAAAGACACTCACCTCCAAGATCACTCTTGAGATCCAAAGTACTTATTCGAACAAATCTTAAACTCACTTTACGTTTTCACCAACTCATCATATGTGAGTTTCTATATTTTGTTATAACTTTGTATACTTTCATTCTAAATCCAAAGTCATACTATTTCTTTTTAAACTCGCTCATTTCTAAAGCTATTCTTAACCACAAAATACTCAAAATTATTTTTAAATCTATTTTGTATTTCAACAATTTTGTATAATCTATTTTGTATTTCAACAGTTTTGTATATATTGTGAGTCGTTATATTTTTATTTTAAGTAGTCAGCTACAGTGTATTTTTTAACAAAATTTTTAATCCATCATTTACCTCTAAGCCCAACGTTCCCTCCATTTTTTGAGTCCACTCATATTCATGGTTATTTTTTTTTCTAAATGGTTAGGTGTACTATGTAACCAGGTGTCTTAACATTTATATTTTAGTTTTTTTTCCATGTTAATGTTGCAGCATAGTAAACTATAGATTTTTTTTAGCCTTATTTATTTTTAAACCCACTCACATTTAAAAAAAATTATCTCTAACCCAAAAGTTTTACCTTCATTTAGTTTTAGAGCCACACCTTCTAGATCACCTTGAATCTAACATAATTGAAAGAATTAATTTTAAACTATTGTATGCTTAGTTTTGTATCATTGTAAGATGATATGTTTTGTTTTAACTTACTATTTTATTCTAAGTATTAGGTGTACCATATTTTTTAGGCCAAATGTTGAAACTATATATTTTTATTGTTTTCAAGTCACGCGGGTCAATTTTGCTCGTTTATGTTTTATAATAGTCAGTATGATAAAATCAATTATGGAGAAAGAATGTTAAGAAGATTCGGTGCATGCATTTGCTTTTGCTTGTGAGAGAATTTTTGTAGCTATCCTATACAAATATAAAATATGAATAACAATTATTGCATTTCTTGGTGTGCACAAGCATTAATCAACTTGGTAAAAGCATGTTGCTTGCTTAGAGTAAATGTATAATATTTTCTACGTTTTGTGTTGTTGGTATCCAACTGTAGTTAATAATCCTGAAGTTATTTCCTATATTGTTTCCTAATCAATTTTTATTTTTATTTTTTGGATTTAGGTGTGAAAAAGTTGCTGTGACAGTCTTAAAATATGATGTGTATTGGAGGAGAATTCATTTGACAAATAGGAGAAAGTACAATTTTGAAAGGCCAAAACACTCAAATTAAAGTGGATGTGACTACATTACAAGATATTTTTTATATTCATAAAAGGGTAGTGTCATGGACTGCTAGGAGTAATCTAAAATTATCTACATTTATTATTGGCTCCAGTCCCAAATTGTTTTAAGTACTGAATAGCAATGAGAAGTTGAAACAATTACTCTGAAAATAGGGGCACAAGAAGAAGTAATTAAAACCTTTTATGTTAACAATCAATCTTTTGCCTCTATTATGTCCACGGTAACAAATTGATACCTTAGCATTCAACCATTAAAAATACTTCAACCCACTTGTAGAAGAGGATATCATTTTTTTTTATGACAATGAGAAGTTAAGGGAGAAGAGGAAGCACTATACCGCTGATCTTGAAAGGGTAGAAGAACAGGGAAAGAAAGAAAAAAGAGCTGTTAGTGTTTATATGTTGATTAAAACTATTAAAAGGCATTTTAGTCAAATTTTAACTCAATCTAATGAGTTAATAGGAAATTAATAAAATTTATAATGAATTAACCAACATTAAAAATAATTTAAATTGTATTAAGAATTTCTGTCAATAATTAAAAAAATCAAACTAGAATGTTATAATATAAACCTAAAAAATTTCTCCTCATGCTCTTTAATAGCCCTAATCCTCTTTCTTTCCTTTTTTGTTATTATTTAATCTGTAACTAAATTAAAATTAGAACAAAGTGAAATAGAAAGAGGTTCTCATACCTATAAAAACTAAAAGAATTTAACTTCAGTACTTAAAGATAATCAAATTAAAATGTTAAAAATTAAGTTATTCTTTTAAAGTATGAACCTCAAAATTTTATTCTCACAATCTTTAATATCACCAATCCTCTTTCACTATTTTTTTGTATTATTTTTACACCAATAAAACAAAATAGAACATAGCAAACTAGAAAAAGAGAGAGAGATTTCCAATCTTTGAAAAAAATAAGAAAAAACAAAGTTAGAATGCTAAAAGAATCAACATAGAAATTTCCTCTTGTGGAGGAGAACTTGGAAAAAGCAGTTTTTTGGTCATAAGTCGACTCATGCACAGGCATAAGTCGACTTATGGTAAGTCGACTTATGTTTGTGCATGAGTCGACTTACGATCTGCTCTGGATTGTTGATTTTGGGCTCTGGCAAGTCGACTTATCAGGTCTGATAAGTCGACTTATGATCTCTTCTCCAGTTGTCGTTTTTCGTTCTGCCAAGTCGACTTA